CTGACAAATTTCTAATTGGATAAGGCCCACTCCTAGGGGTGGAATGCACATCTGGTGCTGTAGATCAGGACAACCCGTGTTTCGAGAAAGGCTACAGGCCCTAGTGGGGAAGCCATCACAAATATATTATTTAATGAATATGGTACACCTACTGGGATATCTTCTAGGCATTTGTATTTACATTCATGTTTGTTTAGATGTGTCTACTTACTTCCATTTGTCTTTATAGTAGAAGAAACACCACTGAGATAGATCAATGGCCATGGCTCAAAGACAAATACTGGGGAGGCCCAAGAAGTCACTGTCTCGCCATGATACAAGAGAAGATTGCACTACATTCTGTCACCCCCTCCAAGGCTCGGGGACCTTAGGGGAAGATTGGCAGAAAGATTGTAAGAGTAGAGGAAAGGGGTGGAGTGTAGCCTGTAAATGATTTATTCACTTCCTCTGAAGAGCCCTCGGTAGCATTGGCACCCTGGGAAGAAGGGTGGAGGCTAGTGTGGAGAGAGAGTGGAATGAAAGGAGGGAGGAGCATTGGCATCATCTTTAGCAAAAGCGATGGCCCTGTGTCTTACCTGCATGGACGTGAGAGGGGGCATTTACCAACCTGGGGTGAGACCACAGGCCCACAAGGCATGGGTGAAAGCTAATGGAGACTGTGGGAAGTCCTCAGAAGTGATCTGGAATGGTGGGATGCCAAGCCACAGTGAAGAGCTAGGCACCAGGTGTTCGTTTCTTTTAAGTCACTCCCCCTCCCCCAACGATATAAACTAAGAAAAATTCAGATAAAGATGTGTTATGTGGTTTGTCTAATAGTGCCAGGAGCAAGGGACCCTAAGAGAACTTGGCAAACTGTGTGTGTGTGTGTGTGTGTGTGTGTGTGTGTGTGAGTGTGTGTACATGACGAAAGAGGCATCAAACATTCTATTTTCACATTTTCTGAGGTTTGATGCTGTAACTGTAACAGGAGTTTCTTTTCTCATCTCACAGGTACTGGTGATTAAGCCCTCAGCACAGACTGCTCACACAGAAGACTCTCAAGTAAAACAGAAAGAGATATTCTAAACCAACAAAAAGAAAATTGCAATGCAGGAGTACAAGAAACAAAAGTAACAGGAAACAGGATTCTTCCAAAAGGTCATAACTCCTCAAATACCAAATTCAAAGATACTGAGTAAGTGAGATGTTAGTTGAAGACTTCAAAAGTTTATTAGTAAAAACAATCAGTCACTTCAAAGAGAATATAAATAGCAGATAAATGAAAGAAATCAGTTCAGGAATTGGGGAGAAAATTGGACAGAGATGAGAAAGTCAGCATGTAGATGAGAAACGCAGCCAGGAAACTGAGATTTAGGGAAAAAATACAAGTTTTGAAAAGCAACAGAAAAAATCCAATGAAACAAACCAAAAGCACAGTGGTAGGCATAGCCAACAGAGTGGACTAACTGGAACAAAGAGCATCAGGGTGGGGCACAGGCAGAGGACACTCCACAGTCAGACACAGCACAGGAGGAATAAGTATGGTCCCAACTTCCAGGAGCTATGCGTGTGACCAAGAGACAAAATCTAAGATTAGTGTGAAAGGAGGAAATGACGTCAAAATTAAAGTCATAGAGAAACTGCTCAATGAAATGATGACAGAAAACGTCCTAAATCTGGGGAAACAGAAATCCAAATGCAAGAGGCATTTAGAACCCCAAAGAGACATAATCAGAGATTCTCTCCATAGCAAACTGTGGACGGCAATGCACAAAACAAAGAAACTGTACTAAAAACTATAGAAGAAAACATCAACTCAACTATGAAGGCAAATGCATCAGAATAGAATCAGAACTGTTTGCAGAAGTCCTAAACATCAGGAAAGTGTGGAATGATGTATTCCATCCCTGAAAATAAGTAACAACCAACCATGATTGCTATAAACAACAAAACTAGTTTTTTATTTTATTTTATTTTATTTTATTTGCCTCTGTGTGTGTGTGTGTGTGTGTGTGTGTGTGTGTGTGTATGTGTGTGTGTGTGTGTACATGCATGTGGGTACTTGTGGAGACAAAGAGAGATTGTCTGATCCCCTGGAACTGAAGTTACAGGTGGTTGTGATCTGCTATATGGGTGTTAGGAACCAAACTCCAGTCCTCTGCAAGAGCAGTAAATGCTCTTAACCGCCGAGCCATCTCTTCAACCCTGATAGTCAAATTCTTCCTTTTTAATTTTTATCCTTTTTATATCTTTCTCTTATTTTATTGCTCTACTTAAAACTTTGGTCATTATGTTGAATAAGAAAAGATAGAATTGGCATCTTTGACTTGTTACAAATGTTAGAGGGAATACTTTCAATTTACCCTACTAATTACAATGTTGTTTCTACATTCGTCCCATATAGTCTTTATTATTTTTAAGTATGTTCCATTTATTCCTATTTTCTTCAAAACTTTTAACATGAAACCATGTTGAGATTTGGCAAATACTTTTACTCTATCTAGAGTGATGTTATGTGATTTCTATCATTAACTATTGATAGCATATTATGTGTATTAATTTGCACATTATGATATTTGGTTTTAAATGTCAGCTCCTCACAACTTAGAACCACCTGGGCAGAGATCCTTAATTGTGGAAATGTCTTAATTGGCTATTTAATGTGATCTTGAATTCGTATTTCAAACAATTTATCGAGTTTTTGCATCTATGTTCATCAGGGAAATTGGTCTGTAGCACTTAACTGATAAAAAATGTAAAGCCAGTACTTTTTAAAAAATTTTTTATTTATTATTTTTTTGTGTATGAGTTTTATACCTGCATGTGGGTGGGTGCACCCATGTCATGCAATGTCCTCGGAGGTCAGAAGAGGACGTTAGATCCCCTGGAACTGGAGTTATGGAAGGTGGATAGCCACCATAGAGGTGCTGGGATTCGAACCCAAGTCCTCTGCAAGAGCAACCAGTACTCTTAACTGCTGAGCCGTCTCTCCAGCTCCAAAAACAGTACTTTAATACTTATATATAATCCATACTTTTTCTGACTTGAATTGTTACATAACTAGTTTTTTTTTTTGTTGTTCTTAAAATTCCAAATTTGTTTTCCATATACTTTGTGTCATTGTTTTCTAAATTTTTAGGAAAAGCTTTCCTAAACTTAAGATACTCTATAAAATAGTTATGTGAACTTATTCCTAGAAAACTCCATTGGTAAATTTCATCTTGGGGCAGAGTAAAGAAAGTGAACTGAAAGACTATGACTGTCTCTCCAATTTGAAGGTGCTGAATTTGGCACATACAACACATGACAAAACTAAAATCAATTATAAAATGACCCAGAGATGAGATACTACTTTTTTCAATTATATTTCTGTGTCAAAATCAGAATAAACTGAATGTGATCTAGTGGTAAACATGTTTTATTAAGGAGAACCTAAAAAAGCTAATCATGATGGTGCATACCTTTAATTCCAGCATTCTGGAAGCAGAGGCAGGCAGATCTCTGTGGTATTGAGGTCAGCCTCATCTACATAAGGAGTTCTTGCCTAAAAGAAGAAAAGAGGAGAATCTAAAAAAATGAAAATCAAAAGCATTACTTATGAAGAAATATTGAAAAATATGACCAGGGAATGGAGAGATGGCTCAGTGTTAAGGGCACTGGCTACTCTTGCAGAGGACCCAGATTTGATTCTCAGCCCCCACATGGCAGCTAATAACCTTCTGTAACTGCAGTTCCAGGGGAACTTAATGCCCTCTTCTGACCTCCATGGACATTGCATGACACGGGTGCACTTATATACATGCAGGCAATATACACATAAAAATTTAAAACAAATAAAAATATGTTGAACATTTAATAAATGCATTTCACATCTTTTTTTTGACCTTTTTGAGACAGGGTCTCCCTGTAGCCCCAGCTGTCCTGGAACTCACTACCAGGCCAGCGTTGAACTCACAGAAATCTGCCTGCCTTTGTCTCCAGAGTGCTGGGATTAAAGGCATGTACCACTACACCTGGCCCATTTCACATCTTTTTAAAAAATTTTATTACATTTATGTGTGTGCACACATGTGTGTGTTTATGTGTCTGCTATGGCAAGTGAGTAGAGGCCAGAGGACAATTTACCAGAGTCAGTTATCTCCTTTCACCTGTGGGTCCCTGGGATTGAACTCAGGTCATCAGACTTGATGGCAAACACCTTTATCTGCTGAGCCATCTCACTGGCCCTCATTCTTTTCCATAGAGAAAATATGGAACTAAGTGACAAAGTCTATCAAGCTAATATGACATGAGAGGGGCACAATATTTGGATGAGTTTTCAAAATTAGAAAAGACAGAGTCTGAAACAACGAGCGACTGTGAAGAGAACAACTAAGCTCAGTGACATTTATACTTAGCAGTGAAGTGCCTGTTCTTCCCTGTCCCAAGATTACAATCAGATTTTAAGTGGGATATAACTAAAACAGCTGAGCGGTAAAAAGCCAACTTTTTATTGTGAAATTATTGATCCCAAATTTCAATACCAAGCAAGATGCACAGAGGAACACCATATAGTGGTCACATCAGGAGTCCTTTATTAATCAGTGGCAGTCAGAGGGGGACTAATGCAGAAAGAATTCTTGAGCCTAAGGAGAAGCACAGCAGGGTTTATAAAGCTTGAAACAACAGTTCCATCAATGCCAAGGCAAGGTCCATAACCATAGTTACAACAGATAATCTGAGTTACACCAGGCCAGGGGCAGGTTTTCAGCTAACAAAAGTTTCCATAAGGAAAAAGCAAGTTTCTTCAAATTCTAGAAACAATGGACTCCATGGAGGTGCAGGTATAGGAGGACGTGCTCTCCGGACAGGCTACCCAGCTACTTGTAAGTTTCCCAGTGTTACCAAAACAATGGACTCCCTGAAACTACCTGCATGAGACAGTCTCCCTGCCTGGCTGCAGTGGGAATAACTGGGCAAAAACACAGGGTAAATCAAACATCAGCTGGAACAAGATGGAGTTAGTATTTCCATTTCACAGATAAGTAGGTCACAGATCATAAGACAGAACTGGTGGCTGCCACTTTCTCCCTATAGTCTTCACAGCTTCTTTGTTGTCCTTGTTCCTCAGTGTGTAAATGACTGGGTTCAGCATGGGAGTGACAACACTGTACAGCACTGAGATCAGTCTATCTTTCTCCAGTGAGTAAGAGGAGATGGGCCGCACATATGTGAAGATGGCACTGCCATAATACAGAAGAACTATGAGCAGGTGGGAGGCACATGTAGAAAAGGCTTTGTGCCTGCCCTCTGAGGAGCGGATCCTCAGAATGGTGGAGATGATGTAGAGGTAGGAAAGGACGATGCACAAGAAAGGAGTCCACCCAATAAAGACTCCAATGGAGAGCAAAGCCAGTTCATTGATGGAAGTGTCCCCACAGGACAAGATCAGCAAAGGGGGGATGTCACAGAAGAAGTAATTGATCTGATTGTTGCCACAGAAGGGCAGGCGGAAGGTGAGAATCGTGTGCACCAGTGAGTTGAGGAATCCACCCGTCCAGCACGAGGCTGACAGCTGGCGGCACAGCTCCTTTCTCATGACGACTGAATACCTCAAGGGCTTGCAGATGGCGATGTAACGATCATATGCCATAGCTGCCAGGAGGAGACATTCTGATCCGACAAAGAAAATGAATGCAAAGAGCTGAGCCACACAGCCGCCGTAGGAAATGCTTTTCTTCTCTGACAGAAGGTGAATCATCATCTGGGGGACATTGGTGGTGGTGTAGCAGATGTCAAGAAAGGCCAGGTTCCCTAAGAAATAATACATGGGGGTGTGTAGGTGTGAATCAGCCATGGTCACAAAGATGATGAAGACGTTCCCTCCCAGAGTGCACACGTAAGTCAGAAGGAAGATGATGAAGAGGAAAGGCTGTAGCTCACTCAGGTTGGAGAACCCCAGGATGATGAATTCAGATGGAGCCGTTTGATTCTTTCCTTCCATGATGTCAGCTGGTTTCCCTTTGTGAATTTGGCAAAGAGAAGCATAGATTACAGGAACAATATGCTGCAGTGGCAGTGGACTGCAAACCAAGGAAACAAGCATTAGTCACAATAGTGTCACCACCATCTACCTCGGATACCAAGTCAGGAAAGCAGCACTCCATGCCAGTCACAGTCTGTACCTGCCAATCAAGACATGTACACACTTCCAGTGTCTTCCCCAGGAATCTACTCCCTGTAGAACACACATGACTATTTTTAACTGAAAAGAAATCACAAAGAGACTCCATGCATTCTAATAGTACTTTGCTGATAATGGCTAGGTAAGGCTCTTTTGAATTTTCTTGGTGATGTGCAGACATCACAGTACAGTTTACAGAGTATCTGGGCTTCATGCACTACTTTACAGTCATCTCTACACCTCCTGTCCATTTTCAGATGCTGATACAAAATGTGTCCATCTCTCATGAAATTAATGTATTTGCATAAAAACTCTTAAGTCCCCATGTCACAGAAGTACTTGCACATTTGTATTGAGTTGGTCTCCATAGTGACTTTCAGGCAATCTGGGGCTACAGGGAGACCCTGTCTCAAAGAACCAAAACAAACAAACAAAAAAAGTAACTACAGATATTTTTGTTATCTCAGTGTATCCACTCTGATGCTGTTGAATATCACTGCTCAGTGTCAGAGGTGATTTATGAATATGCAAACTTTTCATATTCTTCACTCTTATTAATAAAATTGTTGCATTTATTTGGGGCTTGATAAATTTCAATAATGAGCATACTAGATTCCCTGAATTTGGGGGCTTTCTACTTCTGCTTTTTGTTTCAGCTTTATTTTTAATTTAGGTGTGAGCATGCTTCCGTAGGTCATGTCATGTACAGGTGCCTACAAGGGGACAGAAGAGGGTATCACATTCCCTGCAGCTGAAGCAACAGGCCTTATGTGGGTGATGGGACCAGAACCCAGGTCCTCTGAAGAACACAAGTTGCTCTTAATTGCTGTACCATCTCTCCAGGCCTGACACTTGTATAAACTTTCCAAAGATTCATCCCAGTGTGGAAAATTCAAGAGCCATCGACTGATTTGTGATCTCAGTTCTGTTTAGCAAACCAATTAAGTGTTACATGGAGGTTCCTGATCATCAAGTGCTTTCTACACAGCATCTTTCTGCATGGCATCTCAGCTAATGTGCATACTAATTTAGTGAGGTACAGAGGATCATCTCTCCCATTTTCCAGAAGGAATCACAGTCTCAGAAAGTCTGGCAGAAGTCATGCAGCCAGCAGATTAAAAGACAGTTTTCTCTCTCCAAGAAAATACACTTATAATTGGTGGCTGAGGTTTTAGTTTGCTTTCAGTAGTGATAGCAGAATGCTTTAAAAAATTTTTTTTCTGATTTTTTAAGGCAATTTAGAATCACACAACTGAAAATTTTAACCACAGGGTTGCAGACATTTATAATTCATCTTCCTAGGCTGTGCCCACACCACTACACTGTGTTATTTTTTGGATTTTTAGCCTCAACTGGCCTGGAACTCTCCATGTGGACCAGGATGGCCTCAGTCTCGCAGAGAACTGCCTCCATCTGCCTCCCAAGTGCTGGGATTAAAGGTATGTGCCACCATGCCCACTTACCACCACGTTCTTGATGGTTAAATCCATTACCAAACATCTAATCTTTTACTTGAATATTCATTTAGATAACCAGATCCTAGTGTGGTTGTGCATTTCTTGGCCAACTTGAGCATCATTTCAAATTTCATGTTTTTTCTTAGTAAAGGGTACCCTTTCAGAGTCTAGGCTACATTGGTTAATTAAAACACTTGTAGGCCAGGCGTGGTGGCACAGGCCTTTAATCCCAGCACTCTGAAGGCAGAGGCAGGTGGATCTCTGTGAGTTCAAGGCCAGCCTGGTCTACACAGTGAGTTCCAGGACAGCTGGGGCTACAGGGAGACCCTGTCTCAAAAAGACCAAAAAAAAAAAACCACTTGTAACTGCCAGTATAATCATTATATACCTAAATAAAATTACTATACTATGACATATATGTGATGTTTATTACGCAAACTATGGAAACTTAAAAGATAAATAAAATATGATTTAACGTAATTTTTGATGAAAGTGAATATTACATGTTTACTCAAACTACAAGGTGTATTGATTGTGCTGCCTTATGCACAGTTGTGTATTTGAATTACAGGTCTGAGAGGCACTGTGTCTATGCTTTAAATTGCTGCTTTCCTTGTTCATGATCCACTGGTGGTTTTCAATGGAGGGAGACACAAGGCAGATGAAGATTTAAATTTCCATTTTTCTTGTTACCAGAATAAATGAATTCTCTAATACAGTGTTCATTCCACCAACAGAAACACCACCAAATCCTGTTCTCTCACCCACCTCTTATCCTCTTCCTTATCTCCACCCCAGCCTTTTGTTCTTTTTTAAAAAAATATTTTATTATTTTTATTTTATGTGTACGCATGTATTGCCTGCATGTAGGCAAGTGCACCCATGTTTTGCAATGCCCGCGAAGGACAGAAGAGGCTGTTCGATCCCCTGGAACTGGAGTTATGGACAGTTGTTAGCTGTCATGTGGGCGCTGGGATTTGAACCCAGGTCTTCTGCAAGAGCAGCCAGTGCTCTTAACTGCTGAACCATCTCTCCAGCCCCGCTTTCAGGATTTTTTAAATATTTCTTTCCACTTCTGAGGAAGAATGAAGCCAACTGTCTAGGCTAACATAGTCTGTTCATTTTACTCAGCAAGCAAATTTTCATAACTTTCTGTTTACCAAGTATGGACATGTGTGCTAAAGACAACAAGACAGCATTTTACTATTCATTGGAATAATTCACTTCAGGTTATCATGCATAAAATAATTTTAGAATATCTAACAGTAGCCATAAACATTGATTTAAAGGGGAACAGTGGAGGGGATATTCTGGTTTGGAGACTAGATACCAGAAACTTGCCAGAAAAAAATTCAGCTGAGCTTCAAGAATTAGCAGGAGTTGAGTAAATCAGGTAAGCAGATGTGGAAACCATCCATATAAAAACAAGAGCACATGCAAAGACCCTGAGGTTGGAGGCAGCATAAGAGGAGGAGAGGCAGATGCTGGACTTCAGGGAGAAAGGGGAGGAAGTTTCTCTGGGAGGATGGAATCTCGGAGATCTGAGAGCAATTAGAAGATGCTTAAGGACAGGAGCCACCTGTATTCTAAAAGTGATGCGCGTGTGAAGAATGGATGAAGGAACAGATACAGGTAAGATGAGCCTTCGGACTCACTATCTCAGTCGTTCAGAAAAGAGCAGTGGAACTTCACATGAGGTGCAGACAGCTGGTTTGGAAAGAAATAGTGAGGAGACTTCAAGAGATGCCATCTTTAAAATTAAAAATGAGGAGGAATGACAAATTAAAGCTAATACTGGCATGAAACACATGTAAAAGAAAGCCAGGTGTGGTGGCACATGTCCTTAACCCCAGCACTCAGGAGGCAGAAGCAGGCAGATTTCTGTGAGATCAAGGCTAGCCTAGTCTACATCGCAAGTTCCAGGCCAGCTGGGGCTACAACAAACCCTTACAGAAACCATGTGACAAGCTTCAACACAGCCAGTTCTGACACATACAAAAAATAAAAATGCAAATATAGAATAGATAAGTAAAATACTAAATAAATTACAAAGTTATTTTCTTAAAATCACATTGATAAAAATGGTGGTATTGAGGGGTGTTTTATTTTGTGGACATATGGGTGCACTGGATTTGGGGTTTAACAAGTGGTCTGTGGAGTCTCTCACTGAAACAGACAGGAAACAGTCCAGACATAGGGCAGATCACAGCTCAGCTGTGGCCATGTTAAAATGGAGGCGTCTTTGAGATATCAAAGAAAATATCTTTAAAAAAAGAAAGAAAGAAAGAAAAGTACTTGGACATGAGAAGAGATGTACGTGCTATAAAATAAACTGTAAACATGCCAGCACACATGCAGACGGGAGAGGGTGGAAGAAATAAGAACACACAGAGCTGAGCATTTCTAAGAGGAAGGGGATGTGCTCCTCTCCTTTATATAGCACAGTGCTGAAGAACTTAGAAAACCATCATGTCAAGCATATCACTACTGTCATAGAAATTAGAGAACAGCTAAGAACTTTAAACTTTATAAAGAATTACTAATAAGGTTATACACTTAACATGTTTGAACTAAAACTAGGGAAAACAATCTATTTCCAAATGCAGAAGGAAATCCTGTAAGCGGCCCCAAGCAATTCTTCATAAGCCACAGTGGGCTCTCCTAGACTGGCTCAACACCAAACAGCCTGTGCACCATAATTCATCTTATAAAGAGCAAGTGTATCTACTCAGAGATGCGGGAAAATGACTTCTCCCTCTTGCAAAACTAGGGAATGATGTAACAGAAGAGGGAAGAAGAGTTTCCTGATGCCTCATAGTGAGAACTCGAGAATGGCGGCTCAGTATCCATCCCGACAATGAAAGATCTGTTTCCAATGCCTTAAAACTGAAACGACAGCAAACTAGTAAAACTGACATATAAAAGCTCAATAAATAAGAGCAGCATGCAACACTATTGGACAGTTTTTGTGAGAAAACCACACAGTAACTTCCTGTTCTCTGCAGTCCAGCAATGGCATAGTCTCCTCTCTTGTTTATAAACATTATCCTTTACTGAAAAAGGAATCAATGATCTAACAGAGGGCCATTCGTAGAAATTAACCAAAGTGAAGAAATCAGTCCAGCTTGGATACACTGAACCCACTTCCACCTCTCACTGCATGGGGCAGGATGTTTGCACTTCCTCCCTGGTTTGCTCTGGTCCTTACACCTCCTCTCCCACAAATCAGTCTTTCATCCAAAGATTAACACAGAAAAGTGTATCTCTGAAAGTAATGGTGCTTTAGCTAAGCCAGGAAAAAAAATCACTTACTCACTTAGCTGTGATAAAAAAAAATGCAAGCAGATGTTGTCCTACAGACTTCAAGAGATGATGTGGA